TTCCTGTGCTGCCGTTTGCGTTGCTGCTGCTGCTGCTGCTGTTGCTGTTGCTGCTGCTGCTGCTGCTGCTTTTCTTGCTGCTGCTGTTGTTCTTGCTGCAGTCGCTGCTGCTGCTGTTGCTGCAGTTGCTGCCGCCCTCGTGCTGCAGCAGCATCCCTTGCCTCGCGGTTAGCAGCAGCAGCAGCAGCAGCCAAATGTAGGCATTCGGTGTCGTCTTCAGACTCCCCAGCTCTGCTGCTGTTGCTGCTGTTGCTTCTGCTGCTGCTGCTGCTGCTGCTTCTGCTGCTGTGACGGCGGCCGTTGTATTCATATCTACGCCTGTTGCTGTTGCTGCTGCTGTCCTCGTTGCTGCTGCTGCAGCTGCTGCTGCTGCTGCTGCTGCTGCGTCTGTGGACGTACGTGGCTCGCCTAAGCCTTAACTTTGTGCTGTTGCTGCTGCTGCTGCTGCTGCTTCTGCTGCTGCTGCAGCTGCTTCTGTTGCTGATTCCGTCATCACCAGCGCTCTCCTCGTCTCTGCTGCTGCTGCTGCTGTTGCTGCTGCTTCTTTTCCTGCTGCTGCTGCTGCTGCTGCTGCTTCTATCGCTATTGCTGCTGCCTCTGCTGCAGCTGTTGCTGCAGCGGCTTCCCCGCCTACTGAACAGAGTGTTGCTGCTGCTGCTGCTGCTGCTGCTGCTGCTGCTGTTGCTGCTGCTGCTGTCGCTGCTGCTGTCGCTGCAGCTCGCGTTACTACGGTCACTGGTCCAGTCTCTGCTGCTGCAGCAGCTGTTGCTGCTGCTTCTGCTGCTGTTGCTGCTGCTGCTGCTGCTGCTGCTCCGTCTGATTCGCCAGGAAGGGAATTGCTGCTGCTGCTGCTGCTGCTGCTGCTGCTCTTGTGCATGCGTTTGCTGCAGCTCATGTGTGTAGTGCGACAGCCGCAAAGGTAGCTGCTGCTGCTGCTGCTGCTGCTGCAGTTTCTGCTGCTGCAGCTGCTGCTGCTGCAGCTGCTCCTGTAGCAGCAACTCAAAGGGAACAACGACAGGCCCCCGCT